CTCTCCAGATGTGCCTCCCCAGGGCTGAGCAGAGGGGGCAGGATCGTCCCCCTCCACCTGCTGGCATTGTTCTCCTAATGCAGCCCAGGAGACCACTGGCCTTCTTGGCCACAAGGGCACACTGCTGGCTCATGGACGGCTTGCTTTAGAAATTACTGTGCCATTTTAAATTAGAAGCTTACTGGAAGGGTAGCATTGTGTTTTATACCTTAAGACTGGAATGGTAGTGATCCTTTAAATGTTCTGACCCCGGAGGTCACTGTCTACAGACACCTGTGGGTTTCACTCTACTGGTGACTGACAGATAGTCCTGGACCTTGGGGAAAAATAAGAGGTTTGGTTTGGTATAAGAGTTTTATTTGGAGCATATAGACGATTTTTGTTGCTCTTTTGGAGTGTTGATGGCCATTTTGTGATTTTGGAATTTTTTTCTAGCCTTTGCCCTTTTGAATACCCACCTGCATTAGAGATATTAGACAGATACCAAATACCATTGCCCTAAATTCTATATATTCCCTACAATGGCAAGCTTTAAAGCTTGTTTTTCTTTTTTTTTTTTTTTTTCAGTTTTTCCTGAGACTTCTAGTGTGTGTTTATATGTCACATGAACACTCTTAGAAAAATGTGTAAATAAGGGAGCTAGGAAGAGAACAGGGTGTCCTGATGCTTACTGAAATATTTCTATCAGCTTTACTAATAGGTGGGAAGGGGGGTTATTTCTGGCATAAAATGAAAGAAATCTGTTTAGTCTAAAAAAGGCAGAACCCATTTATGAGCAGAAATTATCTGACCTATGCATTTCCTCTCAGTCACTGTTCACACATTACAGAAACACATTCACTGTGTTGTTTCTCTTTTATTTTCCCCTGTTACATTTTGGGCCAGTCTTCTCACATACATTTTCTAATCATGTACCTCCATTAATTTAATTTCATCTCACCTCATATACACCTCTAAAAATAGTTTCAGGTTTCAGGAGCACAAACATAGAAGTTATTTGTGTTTCTTTTTTACTTAATTGTTTCAGTACAATGTAACTGTAACTGAGCTGAGCTGAACTTGGGACTAAACTAGAAATGACATGAACCTCTTTTCAGGTCTGAAAAGCAACTGGAAAGCCATATCCTGAATTCACTTGAGCCATGACAATTACTTTCAAGGCCAACTGTCCTGTTGTTGATGTAAAGCTCTCCAGGAAGTTTCTTCATGGCTGTATGTCTCTGCCCCAGCCAAAACTAGCACAGGTGGTACGTCCCCTGTAGAGGGATTAAAGCATGCATACGGATACTTTTGCAGTAACACTTAAGGTAACTGGATGCCAACATCTTATCAATCCTTCCAAATTTAGGGATCGATTCTATGGATTTCCAACACCTTATTTTCAGTATATTAAGAAATAGAATGACCTCAAACTTTGATCAAGCTTTTCCTCACTGAAATCAGCAATTCCTGCCATAACTGTACTGAAGTCATCAGGTAAATTAACAGCCAAATTGACTGAAGAATATAGGAATTTAGGAGCTATTCACAATAAATAAAAATTAATAGAATAAATAACTGCATTTGCAGACTTCTTGTTCAATTCAGTTGATGCTGTGAAGCCAGACATACTAACTTTCTTGAACATGGCGTTTTTTCTTTGTGGATGACTTTTCAATTCACTGTTACCAAGCCTATGAAAACAGTCTGTTGCTTAAAAAGGTAGTCAAGAATTGTGCTAATTGACATGACACTGAGAAGAACCCTGTGGTTAGAATGAGCTGTAAACAGATTTGTCAGCATAAATATCCTGCAACTGGCTAATAACCTCCCCGTTTCCACCTGGGAAGGATAACAGAGACCTTGCACTACAATGTTCAGGACCAAAACCCCATAAGAATAAATCAAGTTCTGATTAAGTCTTTAAATTGTGATGAAGGGCAAGTCAGCAAGCATGGCTGCTGATATTCTAGTTGGAAGAGATAGAAAAACACCGCAAGAAGCAGCACGTCTTAAACACTGTTGCATCACTTGACAGAATTGTCTTACCATATTATACCGTATTTTTGGCGACAGTGACAATTTCTGTATGCCTTGAAAAAGTCTTGCTGAGTAAAATCATAGTACCATAGAATAGTTTGGTTTACAAAAGACCTTGAAGATGATCTAGTTCCAGACCTCCAGCCATGGGTTCCAGTACAACTTCCTCATATAAATCTCCAGCTGAAAAGCATTAACCTGGTGCTCCCTGTTACCAAAGCAGAAGGAAAAATATAAGCTTTTATGGTAAAAAAATCTATTCCTAAGTGTGTGCAAGTTTTATCCAAGGACAGACCCACATGAAAAGCAATCTTGTAGAGTTTCCACACTGAAAATTTATCTGGAAGTCTCCCTTCGAGATAAATTTTTTTCTTAGAGGCAGAGTCATATCACGTGATGGATTTAAAGTTCCCTTCTATTCCCTCCTACAGATAGGAAAAATTATGGAGTTAATTTTTCATAAAAATACTGTTTGTCTTCTTGTGTTTGAAATCAATAATACATGATTAATACAGACTTCCTAAATGGAAAAAAAACCCAAAAAACCAAAACACACACCAGAATGACTGAGCTCAAGAATGAATAATCCACAGGAGCTGTTTAGAACACGGTGAATACCTAAAACCTGAATTTTGTGAATATTCTCTCAATGTTATAATCAAATCTGTTTCTACTACTTTCAGACCTGATTTTATTAATTATAAGCATTGCACTTGGGTGAAAAAAATACCTGTTTTTGCGGACTTAGTGATTCCTTCCAAGTTATATTATGGTCATTACTTGTTCTGGACTAGAGCCCCAAACATGTAACTTGGATGAGCGCCCACTGCTAGGCAATGGACCTCCCAAGCTCTCTCCCGAATCCCTTAGGTCCGAGAGACAGTTTTGCTGGAGAATGAGGGGAGAGGAGCGCAATTAACACCACGGTGGTCACAGAGAGGTTCTAAATCTTCCTTTTACTGTTTCCATGGGCACGCACACCGGTCGACAAGTCGGAGGCGGGGGCTGTCAGGGGACGGCTCTCGGCCCCCGATGGGCTGCCGGGCTGTCCTGCCCGGGAACCACCGGGCACAGCCGTGCCCGCGGTGCCGGCCAGCAGCGCTGCCGCCGCGGAAGAGGCGCGGGGGGCCGGCAGCGGGAGAGCCGCAGCGCCGGCAGCGCAGCCCCGCCGCTCCGGGAAGGGCGGCTCGGGTCGACATTCCCGCCGGGGGCACGGAGGGCAGCGGGCCCCGCCGGCCGCAGCCGCCCTTCTCCCCCGCCCCGCCGCCGCCGGCCTTGCGCAACACGGCGCTGCCCGCTTCCTCGCCAGTGCGGCCGGGGAGCCGCCCCGCCGCCCGCACAACTCGCTCTTGGCATTTCTCCGTCGCTCGGGAGGCGGCGGCAGCCTGCGCCTGGGGCCCGGGCGGGCGGAGGCGAGCGCCGGCGGCGGGGCCGGGACCATCGCGTCCGCCGCCGCCTCCCGGGCCGCCCGCACGGCTCTGTGCATCCGCCTCTTCCTCCCCCCGCGCCGCCTCCGCCGGGGGAGCCGGCGGGGGCCGTACGTGCCGGGCCGGGAGCGAGGGGAGGGTCTGCGGCTCGGCGTCGCTGCAGCAAGCGCCGGCCCCGCCGCGCCGCCAGGGACCGGGTGCGGGTGCCGCCGCCGGCTCTCCGCGCTGTGCTGCTGCTGCGCGGCGATCGCCGCTGCTGGCGGGAGGGGCAGGGATGTGAGCGGCAGCGGCCGGG